AACATCCCGAAGATGCTACTACATTCATGGAGATATCCGATTTTCAAGAGGCATCAACTCTTATGGACGAATAAGTTTTATTCTTCTAGATATGTTTTTAAGGTGTTTTTACCCCTAGTGGCCGAACCCACTAGGAGTGGCCGAACTTACTAGGAGTGATCGAAACCCCTCCAATTTTTTAGGTTTATGGTTTAATTTTTGGACAATTTTTCTAAGTATTTGGAATAAATTGTTTGGTTTTGGTTTGTTTTGAATTATGGATAATTATTTTGTGGATATTATTTCTCGATTGATTAATTGAATGAATGAAATTATATTTATGCATGTGACCAATTCAATTAATTTATTTCTAGGTATAACTAGTGAGGAAGTTAGTTGTCTGGCTAATAGTGCTACTACACATACCATATTGTGTGAGCGACACTATTTTACTAACTTCGTACCTAAGAAAGCACCTCTGACAACCCTCTCATGCTCATCCAACCTGATTGAAGGATACGGAAAGACCCGTATAATGTCGTATAATGGTACTGTCTTAACCATTAAAGAGGCTCTCTATTCTCCACGTTCTGGAAGAATGTTATTGAGTTTTAAAGACATTCGAGATAATTAATATAATGTTGAAACCACTAAAAAAATGGTTCTAAATTTTTTTGTATCATTTCTTATGAGTATGGCCAGAAGCGTATTCATGAGAAGCTGGAACATCTCCCGAGTGGGTTGTACATCAAAACCATTCGCGACGTAGAGACCCACCATGTGGCCGGCTGTGAGCTTGGGTTCCAAAGCACTTTGCTGCTTTGGCATGATCGTATGGGACATTCCAGACATGATATGATGCGTTGTATCCTCAAATCATCACATGGGCATCATTTGCCTCCCTATGTTGGATTCCCGCCATGCAAAGCTTGTTCTTTGGGGAAGTCGAATACTCAACCCTCAATTACAAAGATTATTCACAACCCTCTTAATTTTCTTCAAAGGATTCAAGGGGATATTTGTGGACTTATCCAACCAACATGCAAACCATTTAGATACTTTATGGTGTTGGTTGATGCATCGACACATTGGTCACATGTATGCTTATTGTCTACATGCAACACTGCATTTGCGAAACTCCTAGCACAAATTATTAAGTTTAGGGCTCACCACCCTGATTATCTGATCAAGTCGATTTGACTGGATATTGTTGGAAGGTTTACATCACATACTTTTTATAACTATTGCATGTCGTTGGGATTGAAGTCAAACATCTTGTACCTCATGTTCACACCCAAAATGGCTTGGCAGAAGCTTTCATAAAGCGCATTCAATTGATAACTCAAACTTTGGTTATGTGAACCAAATTACCGGTATCTGCTTGGGGCTATACAATATTACATGCAGTTATGTTGGTCCGCCTGAGGCCCACCACTACCCAGCTTTATTCACCATTATAGTTGGTTACTGGATACGAGCCGGACGTCTCATATTTATGTGTGTTTGGGTACGTAGTCTATGTGCCAATAACGTTGCCGAGACGTACCAAAATGGGTCATCATAGAAGAATGAGAATCTATGTCGGTTATGATTCCCCATCAATTATTCGCTACTTAGAGGCCTTGATAGAAGATCTCTTTACCGCACGTTTTGTGGATTGTCACTTTGATGAGACAGTCTTCTCATCGTTAGGGGGAGATAAGAATGCTAACGTTCCTGTAGACCTCTACGAATTGTAGTGGTATGCTTTGTCTCATTTTGATCCCCGCACTGCCCAGTCTGAAACTGAAGTGCGATGTATTCTAGATCTTTAGAGCATTGCTCAAAGTATGTCGGATGTTTTTACCGATCTAGCAAAGGTGACGAAACCACATATACATGTTGTAAATGCACCTGCAAGGATAGACGTACCTAGAGTACGCTGTAATACCACATGGGAAGGTCGAATTATCCTCGAGGGTGGGGCGACCGCACCTTCTACGCAGCCTGGTATATTGGTGGTTAGCCAATCATCTGCTCTTACCCTAAAGAATGGCAGACCCCCTGGTTCAAATGATTCACAACCCCGGAAGAGAAAAAGAACACAAACTAGTTACCCTAGTCTGAATTCGACCATCACTCACTCATTTGTTCCAACGCATGAGGTTATTCTAGATTACGGTGATGTCTTAAATGAGACAACTCGACCTCTCGAGAATCGCGAGATTTCGGTCCACTACGCAATATTGGATGAGGTTTGAAATCAGAATGAGATGATCGTCGACGATGCATTTGCGTACATAGTAGCTACTGACATCATGTTTAGCGATGACATTGAACCATGTTCCATCGATGAATGCCGATGTAGAACAGATTGGTCATATTGGAAATAAGCAATCTAGGTTAAACTCGATTCGTTTGCGAAACGTAAGGTGTTTGGGCCTGAAGCTTCTATTCCACCACATGTGAAGCCCATGGCCTACAAGTGGGTTTTCATGATGAAGCGTGATGAGAAATATGAAATAATGCGATACAAAACACGCATCGTAGTGCAAGGCTTCTCTTAACACCCTGGGATTGATTACGAAGAAACGTATTCCTAGTAATAGACATCATAATCTTCCGCTACTTTATCAATTTGGTAGTTTTCGAAAAACTAAATATGCAGCTTATGGACGTGGTAACCGTGTATCTTTATGGGGATCTAGATACAGAAATCTACATGAAAGTTCCATAAGGACTTCCATTGACTGGTTCAAATAGTTCTAGACCATGGAACACTCTCTCTATTAGATTAAGGAGATCACTCTACGGATTGAAACAATCCGGGCGGATGTGATATAACCGTCTGTGTAAATATTTGACAAGTTAAGGTTATATGAACAACGAACTATGCCCATGCGTGTTCATAAAGAAGTTACATTCCAGATTTGTGATCGTTGTAGTTTATGTTGACGACATGAGCATCATCGGAACTCTCTCAGAGCTTGAGGAAATTATTGTTCACTTGAAATCATAATTTGAGATGAAAGATCTTGGGAAAACTCGATATTGTCTCAGCCTAAAGATCGAGCATTGTTCGAATGAAATCCTAGTACATCGATCGAACTACATCCAAAAGGTGTTGCGACGTTTTAATAAAGATAAATCGAAGCCTTCGAGTACTCTTATGGTCATTCAGACTCTAGATGCTAAATGAGATCCCTTCTGTCCCAAGAAGGATAAGGAAGAGATTTTGGAGCCTGAAGTTCCATACCTAAGTGCAATTGGTGCTTTATTGTACTTGGCTCAATGCACTAGACCTAACATCTCATTCGTTGTTAATCTTTTGGCTAGATACAACAATGCACCTACATGCTTTTCACTACCTCAAGGGTACGACGAATTTGTGTTTGTTTTACACCCACGAATCCTTAAGATTAGCTGCCACCCCCTCGGTCTTCGAGTTGATTCTCACCTTGTTAGTTACGCAGATGCTGGATATCTGTCTGACCCATATATGGCACGTTCTCAAACGGGCTATGTCTTTATCGTTGGAGACACCGCTATATCTTGGAGGTTTATCAAGCAAACGCTAGTTGCGACTTCTTCGAACCATGCTGAGATTTTAGCCATGCATGAAGCATCGTGTGAGTACTTTTGGTTGAGAGCAGTCATGGAACATATTTGAAGCACTAGTGGTTTTACTACCGTTGTTGACCTTCCTACGACGATATTTGAAGACAATGCAGCATGTATCGAGGAATTAAAGAAGGGATACATCATGGGAGACAACACCAAACACATAGTGCCTAAGTTCTTTTATTCTCACCAGGAATAACAACATCAGAACATTGAAGTCAAGCAAATCTGTTCCCAGGATAACCTGGCTGATCTCTTTACCAAGTCATTGCCCAAGTCTACTTTTTAGAAGCTCATAATTATCTGAGTTGAATTGCTTGTAGTTCTCTTATTTGGAAGTTATGTCTAACTCAGTGAAGTATCCTGAAGCATACTCACTTGATCTTTATGTACTCTTTTTCCTACGATTAAGAACAATTTTCCCACTAGATTTTTGCTACCTAACAAGGTTTTAATGAGGCACCCATCATGGGATGATCATACTCCGTTAAGTTCACTATTTTTGTCTTGTTTAACATTTGTTTTAGACATTATGCATACTTCTCATTTTTCTCCTTAGTCTATGGGTTTTCACCTGTCTTAGGTTTTACCATAGCGAGGTTTTGTAAGTTTTACTACCAATGCATAATTTCTTTAAATTTGAGACTCGCATTCGCCCGTTATGCCGCCGACTTCATCAACTGTCTACCTCAACTGCTGAAGATCTGATGCGATGTTTTGTTTGAGTATTTACATACTCAAGGGGGAGTGTTGCAGTCATAGTTAGAATAGGAATGTGATTGTGTAAATCCTAGTGTATCTAGGGATATCTTGGAATACTCCCTTTAGTACTTAATATCCTATTAGAGTTGTAATCCTATAAGGATTTAACATATCTTTCTACGATAAATAAAGACACAATGAGGTGATACAATATACATCTCACAATTAAATCTCTCTCTTTTCTCTCTCTTATCACCGACCTCTCTCCCTCTCTAGTCCTAAATACAGTTCAGTCAAATAGGCCTACAACAACATTTGGTATATTTATAATTATGGCTAAATTTTTTATTATATATTTTTATTTTTAGTTTGTACCCATTTTTAATTTGCAACCCTTCTTTTAATTTGTACCAATTTTCTTTTTAGTTTTAATTTGTACCCATATATTTTTTTTTGTGCCCATATTTTTGAAACTTTTAGGCCTCGTTTAGCAGCTCGGACTGTATTGACTATTTCTGTCGGATAGGATAAATAGCCATCGGATAGTACTGACTAAATTAGTCAGGCGTTTGGTGCAGTATCGGACTAATGACCGTATTATTTATACTGTGTTTGGTACTGAGCCGGATAGGACAAGGAAAAAAAAAATGACAAATCTTTGTTTGTTTAATGAACTTTTCTCATATTTATACGTATTGAAAACCACACAAATTTTCAAATAACAATGATAAATAGTAAATTCCATACATCAAATTCAAAATATTTTCCAATAACATAAAAGAAGGTTCACAAAAAAAAACTACAAGTCATTACGTTATATAGATTAATCTAACCACATATCCAAGTTCATAAAATATACAAATGCAAGTTGGTTTCACTAAGAAACAGTTTGTCTAGATAGCCAAAATATATGCATGTTGCTGCTTTGCAAACTCTTCCCTCTGCTTTGCTTTCTCCTTAAACACCAACAAACACAGGGAGCATCAACAAAACAAATATTTCCTGCAATCATAAAGGCCAGATGCATTAATGTCGCAAACATAAGTCCAAACAACCAATAAGAGAAATTTAACAAAACCTAGACAACCCCACTTAAAATTTGATAAATGCAATGAATAAAATAACTAAAAAAGCTTAAAAGGAACAAGATTTGAAAGCCTAACAAGACAAACAACAAAACGAAGACAAAGCTTCTGTTACAAACCACTGAAGTAAGTGCCATGGAAGGATCAACACACCACTGAAGTGAAACTAGCCAGCATTTCATTTACTTAGTCCCACCACTTAAAGCTTCAGTTACAAACAGAAAAATGAACCAAGACAGTATGTTATTCTCAGTTAACATATAAAACTTATGAGAAAATACTACCACACAAAACACAACAATTTTGTACAAGCATCAAATACACGATATTCCATATAACATATGAAGTCCCCAACATATGCAGTCTAACGACTCTAACATGTAAATAGATACCATATAACACACTTTAATCACTTCCTTTCGGCCCACATTATCTCTTCTTCTATTTAACCGCCCTTGACAATCTTGTAGCTTGCCCATCAAGTACAGAGTAACCTTCAGTTCTTGCCCATCAAGTACAGAGTAACCTTTAGAGTTAATCATCTGCACAAATTTTATATAATATCCCATTTGCCCATTACTAATCTTGTTCATCTGAGCAATTTTTTTACCATTAACGTTTGACCACTCCTTTAATTACTCAATTATTTTAACATCATCATATCAACAATAAACACAAAACAGCTAAATCAAAGCAAACTTTCACCATGCATCAGTCACTCAACAAAAAATTGAAAGACAAAATCTTGAAAATTCAACGAAATCCCACTAACCAAATCTCAAATCAAAGAAAACCCACATAAGAATTTGCAGAACAATGATACGGAAGCAGCTCATTTTTTAGCACAATTCTCGTGCCAAAATTCAATCCCAACAAACCCTAATTCGACCCCATCAACAAACCCTAAAATTCGAAAATTCTAATTAAAACACAAAATTACATAATCAATTGCATAATTACAGAGAAAACAATAACTAGATTCAAACAATTGAAAGAAAATTGCAAGAAAAAAGAGAAGGAGGGGGAAGACCAGAGGGAGGGGCGGAACCTGGGAAGAAGAAGAAGAAGAATGAGAATACAAACCTGGGAACGGTGCGTCTGGAGAGGAAGGAGAGAGCGAGAGTGCGTTCTCAAGAGAATGAGAGAGCGAGAGTGCGTTCCGACTAAATTGTCCCGTGCTTTTAGAGGGGATAAGGAAACGGGTGTTTACCGTATAAAGGAGGTGGGCCCGGATTATTTAATCCGGTGGTTATTTAATACAAACGGATGCCAAACACCGTACTCCGTATTATTAGTCCTATCCGATGTGTTATCCAACGTACCAAACAAGGCCTTATTTGTATTTGTACCCACATTTTTTCATTTATTTGTACCCATTTTTAATTTTGCTAAATGTACCCATCCTAATTATGTATTTATTTTATGTTTTAAAATATATCAATATTTATTTTTCAAAATATGTTAATAATTATGTGGGTACATTATTTTTTGCTATAATTTTTGTGAAGAACAATATTACTCTAAAATTGATTTTTAAGTATTGATTATATTTTAAAAATATTATTTAAATTTGTTTAAATTTCATAATTTGTGGGACATTAAATGCATAAATGCATGAGTTAAATCTCTTAAATGATGCGAATGACCTTGATCAAATTATTTAAACAAACAAGGTTTTAGTCTAACAATTAGGTTGATTGGGGATTGGAACCAAAATGACCCATTTTTTATACTAGTATTCATTTCTCTTGGTTAGCTAAAATAGACAAACCAATGAGTCAGATATAACTAGGTAGTAGACTTAATCCAAATATTAAACTTCATTGTCATTCATGTGAGTCGAATATGAGACTTTTCACGTACAAATAAACAAGAATACTATTATATATGATAATTTTACTTATAGAAAAAAAAATGACGTCAGAGGTAACGCGATTAAGTAAACAAAAGGATGTCAAGTCATTCGTTGAATAAATTAGGACACTTCAAATATTAGTAATCAAACAATCTATTGTGATTTTAGTCGAACAATGATGACCAACTTATAACATTTGTGACTAATTTTATTACAAAGTTATTGATTTCTAACCAAAAGAATGAAATTGACCACGATATTACAAATCAAAGAGTACAAAAAACGAAACAATATTTTGAGGTCTCTTCCAAACAACTTCTAACATTTGGGCAGATCAAGTGGTGGCGAAGGCAAAGTAGATTCTGCAGTAGGTCCATTTTCAACCTCAAAAGCCAAGCCTAGCCCCCATGACAGATGAATGTCCAAATGACAGTGCATGTACCAAATTCCTAAGACAATTGTTTAGAACAAATAACCAAACATTAATTTTTAATAATATAACTAAACATAAGACATTTAATTGATGAGGTGATTAAAAAACTAACCTGGATTATTTGCTTGAAACCTAATCACAGCCCATCCTTCGACCGGCACACCAATTGTGTTACGAATTTGCGAATTAACGAAGTTGAATTTTTTGGGGTCATTAATCGGGTCGTAGTTACCAAATCCTTGTGCTAACACGTGAAAATTGAAGCCGTGGAGATGGATAGGATGGTTCTCGATCGCCAAAAATGCTGTGTTTTGAAGCACGATCTCTACCGTCAAATTGAACTTTAGTGTCTTGACCTTGGTAGATTTTGGTGCGTATATTAGCGACAGGTCGAAGCTGACATTCGTGTCTGTGTAATCAAACTTTACCGAAGGCTCGTCAGGAAAATCTCTGGTGTAAACCCCACTCACGTTGTTAAAATGTGCTTCCATCATTGACGTATTGCTTGGAAGCACGAATGACTCGTTGTTCATGCTAGCAGACAATCGGCTAAAGAGTGGGCCTTGACATGTGGCATTTTTTGGACACATTTCTAAGTTCACGCCGATTGTCATGAACATGTGCTTGTCCACTTGAAGTGGGACCGGGACCCATTGGGGCCCGCCGATGAGGCAAGTGAGATTAGTATAGAACTTGTGGGCCAACGACGTGTCGTGAGGGTTGGGCAAGGCCGGCATAATGGGGGTTGATGACTTGGAATTCTTGTAGACGATGATGCCTCTGGTGGTCGTGTTATCAAAGTCGATGTTTGCACTAGCATACGGAGTGGCGGCCATGTAATAAGATCTGATAGGTTGATTGAAGTTGACAAGAACGTCAGTGGTTTGACCAGGTCCAGTAACCACCACGTCGGTGACATATGGAGTGGCGGCCATGTAAGTGGCGTCGATGGCGACAACTGTCATGTTGTGATTGGCTATCTTGAAGAAGAGTTGGTTATTTAGTGCAACATTGATTAGGCGTAGGAGGTAGGTATCTCCTCTCACCACACTGAGTTGATATGTCTCTGATAAATTGATGCTAAACTGTTAATATTCATCATTCATAAGTAATATATAAAAATAAACAAATGTACGTCCATGCATGCATGGTTACATACGATTTTGAGAGCAATCGTATATATCACCAGGAAGTCCATTTATAGTGTAAGCATTTGAACTATTAGGAGCAATTCCGGTAGCCAAGCCTTCTTCCTCAATGTCAACAACATTACCATTGTATCACTCTCCTGCAATTCCATCAAACATATTTTATAATGTCACAAAAATTATTGTTTAAGTGCGTATCATGATGAATGTTAACTATGTTGAATGGTATTGATCGTTAATTACCTAATAAGATGGGAACTTCTTCGGTGGGCTTGAGGAAGTGGAAGGATGGACCAGCTTTCGGGTGGATTATGAGTGCGCCGTGGACGGTTGCGCGGAGCCACGAAACGTGGGCATGCCACCAAAGGGTGCCTTCTTGTCGGGTGATATTTGTGGATGAAAATTTCTTCCTCCTCGATCTTGGACGATTTTGCACCTACAAAACAATTAACACCTTAGGTTAAGGCCAAGAGCCTCACGCGCCCACGATGAATGGGGGGGGGGGCTTTGGCCGAAGAACCTCCGATGCCAAAGTTAGAATTTAGAGAGAAAGAGTGTTTAGAGAATTTTGGGATTTTTGCCAAAGTGTTGGAATTAGCTTTTTGGTGAGAATGGGAGTATATTTATAGGGATAGGAGGTGGCTAGGGTTTTTAGGTTTAATTAGCCAATTTATTTGGCTATTAAACATAAAATGAATGTTTTGGAGGTTTTTTGTATAATTGGCTAATAAAAAGGAAGAAATGGTGGGAAAAGGTAGAAAAAAGGTAATGGATTAGGTTTTTCAATGGGATAGCCGGCCCTCTTTGTGTTTTTAGGTTTGAGTGGATGTTTCAAATTGACAATTAAGGGATTGATTAGGTAATTAATCCCTTAATTAGTCAATTATTATGATTTTATGAAATATGAAAGGAATAAGTATATTATTTAGCTAATTGATTAGCTAAATAATGAAATGGGAAATATATGAATAAATTAGGTTTTAAGTTGATACCTATTTTGGGCACTTTTGACTTGGTTGAAAAAATGATTCTCTATTGCTCGCGTGTAGGAAACCCGGTATGCCTCGAGAGTATTTTTGTCCTCTTTTGTCCAAAAGTCCACGTGTCGCCTAGTGAATATTTTGGCTCCACAAATGCCCCCACACCTGTTGGGCTGCTCGCAAAAAAGGGCAGCAGGTGTAGAGATCTTCTTGCTTTAGGAAACTTAAGACTGCTTCCTATTTTGATGTTGATTCTCTCTTTAATAGGAAATTAGATCCTTCTAGGAAAGGGAAATAAATTTCTCTCAAAGCCTATTTAAGTCCACCTTAAGTGGGTTATTAAATCAACTTTGGAGAGCAATTTATTCTACCATACAAGAGAGAGATAGCTTAGAGGATATTTGTTCCCCCTCCTCTAGCAATCTTCTACATCTTGCCCGTGCAAAGGACCGTCTTTCGTTGCTTTCTTCGTCTTCTTCGTGTCGCACCGATGTAAGAAAAATTTAATTTTTCTTGCCTTATTCTTGGATAGTGCTATTGCGGGGCAGCCGTCGGGGTGGTGCGGCACATCGGCTGGCAGAGGCCAGGAGTTGGCTCGGCATGGGCCGAGGAGATGTTGTGGCAGGGACCACTGCTTGGGCAGCTTGGCTTGGCTTGAGCCAAAAGGCAGCTTGTGCAACTAGGGTCGCGGATTGTGGCGCTAGGGCGCAGTGCTAGGCGAGCCGCATGGCTCATGTCCTTTGGGCTCTTGGACCTGACTCGGGCCAGGCTGGTGATTGAGAGAAATAAGGAGATTGCGGGTCTCATGGGCTGCTGGAATGTTGGGCATGCAGGCCTCCTACATGTTGGAATGCTGGGTTGAGCTCCCCTGCTGAGTACCATGAATGTCGTTGGCTGCTTAGTCCTCTTTGCCGAAAGAAAGGTGGGCTGCTCCAGAAAGATGAGGTAAAGAGGATCAAGGCGGATGCATTGGCTCGTCTGATCGCTGTCGTGGAGCTTACTATGAATGAAGATGGAAAGAAGAGATCTTCCCCGCCTGCTCATGAGATGCCAGTTAAGAAAAAACTGAAGACTTCTTCTGCTGCTCATGAGGGTCCGCTTGCTACCGAGAGGTATGTGATTGACATGATTTTCCAATGGGAAGAAATGTAAGGCTGCTAGATCTGAGCATGTGGCGTCTTCCATGTTGAGAATGGCTAGTACAATTGTGGATAAGATTACTCAGCGTAAAGGTTTTATCATGCCCCCAGTGCCGAAGTCTGTACCAGGACGTTCTTTGGGAGCCAAGTCCGGTTCACCTTTGTAGAGACTTGCTATTATGAAGAGTGGTAAGGTGGACTCTGCTGCTAAAGTGGCGCCAAAGCCTGCTCCCTTTGCTGCTGAGATTGATTCGCCTCAGATTCAAGATCTTAAGCTTGCAATTTCTGAGCTTCGTTTCGCTACTTATGCTAAGAAAAGAGTGGATGAGCTTCTCTATTTCTCCGGAAGACTTGCTTGCTTTTACTTTTAAGGCTTCCATTGGTGAAGTAGTTGGAGAAGTTAGTGCCCAGACTGGGGCAGCCGGGGGTGAAGCGCCGGATGATGCCGCTGCTAAGAGCGTTACGGCTGTTGAAGGTGTGGCGACCGAGTAGTCGTGGAATGTCCAAGCTGCTGTAGTGTAGTATTTTAGGTAGCCTTTAGGATTTTCTTTGTTTTTCCTTGTAGCTTTTGTTTTGCTTGAACTCCTTCAACCTTTGCTAGTTGTTTATAAACATGTTTTCCTTCGTTTTTCTTCATCTTCACTTCTTTTGTTCATGCCCTAACCTTTAGACTTGATAGACCAGTGGCAGGCATGCTACTTTTTTATAAGCAGACAAACTCGCGTAGCCTATGCAGCCGTAGGTGTTGGTGTAGAACTTTGCAAAGTTATTAGTCATAAGGTTGGCAGCCAGATGCCTTACTTACAGAAGCAGACAAGTCCGCGTAACCACTAGGTTGTTAACTTTGACTTTCTTCAATTCCGTAGGTTGCGTAGCAAGTATCACAACACTTTAGGACTTGGTGTAGGTTATTCCGCGCTTGGCAGAGGTGAAGCTTATCGACTACGTAGCATGTCGGCAGTGGATAAAACTTCGTATATGCGCGCTAGCTTGTCTAACCTTTCACAAGAATGTGCGGTTGTATAAGTCTAGTGCGGCTTCACTGCTCGAAGGGCAAGCCGTAGGCAGTCTTCCGGAATCCGTAGGCTACCTTAGTGCACTCAGTAGCAGCTTTAGGATTCCAGGGCAGCCGCCCATCGGATGTACTGCGTAATGTGCCCTCTCCGTCTCTAGGGCCCGGTTCCCCACGGATTAGGCCAAGAGACCCAAAATCCTTCAGTTAGCTAAACCTTGAAAAAGACCATTGCGGCTACTTCTAGGAATCCCGGCGCAAGCCATCGTGCATCTAGTTATACTAGGGCAGCCAGGCTCATCCACGTCTGGATATTCGGAGTGTAAAGTTTATCCTCCCGTCTTGGAGAGCTGACCCATATGGGTGTCGGAGAATTGGTTTACCCTCTCGCACTGGAGAGCATGGTTGGTCCCTCGGGGGGCGCAATTCCTGCGATAAGTCCCTAAAAAGGGTGCAGTCTTCTTTTGAAGTGCAAGAGTGATTAGTTGTTGTAAGCATGCAGCCAAGCCAAGTTGTGATTACTTCTAAATTCCTCATTGAAAAACGAGTGAAACGAACGAGAACTTTAGCTGTAAGGTAGGAACTGCATAACAACTGGATAGTCCTCAGCTTGTGAGGTGGTGCCCGTCGAGCTTATTGAGTCTTCGGGTTTTGATGTAGCGGGAGGTCACACATGGTACTTCTTCAGATTGTAGGCCATCCATTTTTTTTTCAATCTTTTTGCCGCTTCATGGTGGTGAGGGTGTAATTACTCTTGCCCCCTACTCTGCTGATCTTGTACGGACCTTCCCAGATGGGATCCATCTTTTTTGAGCCTTCTCTGCCGGCAGTGATGAAGGCTTTTCTGCGCCGTCGACATGCAAATGCCAAAAGTCTCCATCAGGTGGAGTAGGCGCAGCTAGAGTGTGCTCGGCTACTTCTGAGGCATCGTTGGGCCGTTCTGTTGCGTCACCTAGGCTCGGCGTGAAGGCGCAGTAGGGAGCTGTGGAGATGGGGCCATGTCATATGCAACAGGAGATGCTCAACTGCCGGTATTGGGCCACTCTAGAGTTGAATCATTGAGCAAGGGTCGGCTAGGGCCGTGTGATGCGCAGCAAGAAATGGTACTCAACTGCCGTTACATGTTGCTCCTATGTAGAATCCTTCAGGGTGACGAGGACAAAACTTGCTTTCAAGTGTGTCTTTCCAGTGTTACGTTCGTCAGAAAACTTTACATCCGCCAGGGTCTACGCCTTTATCGTCGCGCGTCTGGATTGGGCAGAATAGTACGTCATTAAGATGATTGCATGCGTTTGAAAGTAAAATTTGTGTTTCTAGGTTGCAACAACTATCGCCAAAGTTAACTTTTGAATTTTTAATAACATCGATGAGAGCTTTTGAACTGTAGAATACAGGTAACGGTGGAATACAGGTAGTCGGGCCCCCATCTCTTCTCGCATGATGGTAGAGCTTATTGCTACTTTAGATAACGTCAAACATGTGAATAAGTCCTCCGCTGCTTCTAGGGAGGTGATGTCAGGTACTTCTTCAAGTCCTTGAATGTGCATTGGCGAGCCTCATCCCAAAGTGCATACTTCTCTGCCAAAGCAAAAGAGTCTGCCAGAGTTAGATCTTCTTTCATGATCAATTTTTCGAATAGCGGGTGGTCTGCTGGAAGTCCTTTTTGGAAGGCTGCTCTAGCTATCGAGTCGTTGCATCCGACTATTTTTGCCTTCTCTACTTTGAACCTCCTCACATAGTCGCGAAGCGACTCCTTTAGGTTCTTCTTGACGTTGAACAAATGATCAGACTTCTTTTTGATTGAGCGATTGGATGAATATTCTTTGGTGAAAACCAAAGAAAGTTCGTAGAAATCCCGGATGGATTGTGGCGGCAGGGTGTAGAACCAATCTTGCGCCTCGCCTTGTAGAGTGGTGGCGAATATCTTGCACATGAGCTCATCGTTGTTTCGATAAAGGATCATTGCGCTTCGGTAGCGCTTTAAGTGTCTCTCCGGGTCTTCATCCCCTTTGAAAGATGTGAAATGTGGCATGCTGAACTCTCGTGGAGGCTCTGCCTGCTCGATCTCGTCCGTGAAGGGTGACTACTTATGTTGGTCATGTTCCGTCGTAGTGCCTCGTTGGTGACCTCGTTGCGTTGGAAATCATGCAATCGCTTGGTCAAGAGTCTCTCTACTTCTTCCTGAATTTGCCTTTGTTGGGGTAGTGCAGCTCTCGGCTGCCCCCAGCCATGACTTGCTGGTCTAGGCTGCTCTTCCATGTGTTTGGCTCGTCTATGCCGCAGATGCAGTGCATATGGTGCATTCCTAGCAGGCGAGCGAGTTCTTCGCAGGCTGCTGGTTGAACTTGAGCTGGATTGAGTGACTGCTTCTCTCCGTCCGTCGTGCTGCCTACTCTGATGTGAGGTGGATGATGCTCCTTGTGGGCTTAGCCGCGAATGAACACTTTGTCTGGAAGGTTGCTCATGTTGACTATCGGAGTGTGACCCCAACCGTGAATGTATGCTCATCCGTGGGCCTAGTCGAGAGTACACGCTCCTCCGCGCGCTAAGACGGGAGTATACGCTATCTCGGGGGCCCAATCGGGAATGTACACTGCCTGAACGTTCAGCTCGTGGCTGGTCGAATGGCTGCTTGCTGGGATGCTGCTGGAAAGGTTCGTCTGCCCTTGTCCTACTTCGGGATACCTCATCCGGGGCACGTTGGATCCCGATGCGTTGCAAAAGTTGATTCACCAAAGTTGTCTGTTGTGCAAGGGTGCTCGTCAATTCTATGACTTGTCGAGACAAGTGTTGTTCGCCATTTGGATTGGAAGAGCTTGGAAGGAATGCGCCTCCTTGAGCAGTGGAAGGGTGGTAGACTCCGGGCGCGAGATTTGAGTTGGGAAATGTCAAATCCGCGAAAAAATGTGGTGAGAATGCCCCCGGCTCGATGGTAGGTCCAGATGGTTGAGATAGTTTTGGGCCGACTTGGGCTGCTTGGAAAGCCACGGGAGCAGTGTGGGCCTTGAGAGTGGGCTGCTAGTCGGGAGTGGGCTGCTCGTTGGGAGCAGGCTGGGTCACGAGAGCAGGCTGCTTGGCAGGAGCAGGTTGCTTGGCGGGAGCAGGCTGGGCCACGGAAGCAGGTTGCTTGGCGGGAGCAGGTTGCTTGGCAGGAGCAGGCTGGGCCACGGAAGTAGGCTGCTTGGCAGGAGCAGGCTGGGCCACGGGAGTGGGCTGCTTGGTAGGAGCAGGCTGGGCCACGGGAGTGGGTTGCTCGACGGGAGCAGGCTGGATCACGGGAGCAGGCTGCTCAATGCGCGGTGCATGTGAATGCGAGGCTTGGGCTTGGGTCCACGTGAACTTGGATGGCACGGCTTGGATCGTGGTCTTGGTACCGTGAGCCTTGGATGGCACGGCTCGGGCCGTGGTGAAGGCTCCATGGACCTCGCCACGAGTGGCTACCGAAGTAGCCATCGTGGTGGTTCCCATGGTGGCCGTGGTGAAGGCATCATGGACCTCGCCGTGGGTGGCTACCGAGGTAGCCACCACGGTGGTTCCCATGGTGGAAGCTCGTGGTGATGATGTCGCTCCCCTTATTGTCGCATTTTGCCTTACGGATCTCCGGATCGTGGTGAAGGCTCCATGGACCTCGCCACGAGTGGCTACCGAAGTAGCCACCGCGGTGGTTCCCATAGTGGCCGTGGTGAAGGCACCATGGACCTCGCCGCGGGTAGCTACCGAAGTAGCCACCATGGTGGTTCCCATGGTGGAAGCTCGTGATGATGATGCCGCTCCCCTTGTTGTCGCATTTAGCCTCACGAATCTCCGCAATCCCATTTCTTGAACATTAGAATTTTCACTTGTGGAATTTTCTAAATTTCTAGCCATTATATTTTGCTTATACGTTTTATCAAAGAACCTTTGCAAGTAAAAAATTTTAATAATAAGAACGTATGAAAAATATTCAAATGGACTAGAAAATAAAGAAAAAACCTTTTTTGTGCGAGAGTCTTCTACGAGTATGGATTTCAACTCTCAATGAAAGCACCAATTTGTGGATGCAAATTTCTTCCTCCTCGATCTTGGACGATTTTGCACCTACAAAACAATTAACACCTTAGGTTAAGGCCAAGAGCCTCACGCGCCCACGATGAATGGGGGGGGCTTTGGCCGAAGAACCTCTGATGCCAAAGTTAGAATTTAGAGAGAAAGAGTGTTTAGAGAATTTTGGGATTTTTGCCAAAGTGTTGGAATTAGCTTTTTGGTGAGAATGGGAGTATATTTATAGGGATAGGAGGTGGCTAGGGTTTTTAGGTTTAATTAGCCAATTTATTTGGCTATTAAACATAAAATGAATGTTTTGGAGGTTTTTTGTATAATTGGCTAATAAAAAGGAAGAAATGGTGGGAAAAGGTAGAAAAAAGGTAATGGATTAGGTTTTTCAATGGGATAGCCGGCCCTCTTTGTGTTTTTAGGTTTGAGTGGATGTTTCAAATTGACAATTAAGGGATTGATTAGGTAATTAATCCCTTAATTAGTCAATTATTATGATTTTATGAAATATGAAAGGAATAAGTATATTATTTAGCTAATTGATTAGCTAAATAATGAAATGGGAAATATATGAATAAATTAGGTTTTAAGTTGACACCTATTTTGGGCACTTTTGACTTGGTTGAAAAAATGATTCTCTACTGCTAACGTGTAGGAAACCCGGTATGCCTCGAGGGTATTTTTGTCCTCTTTTGTCCAAAAGTCCACGTGTCGCCTAGTGAATATTTTTGGCTCCACAATATTAAATTTGTAAGTAAAGCTTTGTCTAGGGCTTATAGGGCATTGAGTTACATATGCAGCTTCATCCGCCCATGTACTTAGAAGCTTAAATATTCCATGCCTGCATAAGAAAGAAACTATAAAACATGAACAAAACATAACCCAACATTCCCCGGGGGGATTGTTAATCAAGAAAAAAAAAATTGACGAAGAAAATATGGATTTGCATTTTGTTCTAAATAATGTTATTTAAACACACAAAACTCAACACTCTCTAATATTTGTGGGTCCTAAATAATTTGATGGGTCATCTTTATTGAAGGGTGCGTCATTAAGTGTGTCCAAATAGAATTCTTGTTTTGTTCTAGAATATGTTGAGTGGTAAATGATTTTAGATATGTAAACTATTATTTACCAGTGAATAGTAATGTTGTAGGGCGACTGGTTTAAAACGTGGACGATAAGTGTGTCTCCATTTCGTGCATGTATTGTTGGTCCGGGATAACACCCATTTACTACAATAATCGATTGATTCCGGCACAATCGGCTAACAGTCAAGTTGTTCACCTGAAGCAATTGAAATAAAAAATAAAAGAAACATTTAAATAATTAGTGAGAAATATGCATAATAAAACAAGGATCCCGAAGGGCTTGTTTGAATATTGTTTCGAAAACCCGTTTCTATGAAAATTTAAATTTTTTCGTCAAATTAATCAGAAGTAATTTTGGAAGTCAAAATGCGGTTTTAGCCATTCTAGAAACATTCATGAGCAGACCCAAAATTGAGGCTAGACTTACACTAAAAGAATGCTCAACAATTGCCCCAGAGGCTACTGAAGAAGCCAATAGAGTTACAGAACAAGCTAGCACAAAGGGTAAGTCTGCCATATGGGGAACAAAGGAGCTAGCTGATAGGGAAATGATAACTTTGAGAATCGTATATTGTTGTGAAGATATATGTTATGTTTATATAGGCATTTGGAGAGAAGTAGCTAACAAATTAAGCAATAAATTTTACTTGCTTTGATAATTAAGGACTTTGAAACGTGGAACGCGCAGGCATATATATATAAAAGGAATGGTATTGTGTATCCAGCTAACAGTTTGATTAAGTTGGCGACTCATCAGAGAATGCTAGCATAAAGTTATGAACACAATTCTGAAATATTATAAGACAAAATTATTTAGGATATTTGATTTCCCTTGATTGTAGGAATAGATTGGCTCTATGCAAATCATGTATTGATATCTTAGAGTTGACTTTCTAGAATATAGCTTAATTTACAATGTATAAATCATGTATACGAAAGCTAATGAAAATGATTTTAAAATTTTAAATTTTAACAAAAAAATCATGTAATAATTTTATTTAATGATCAAGACAAAACTCAACTTTAATAATTAGTCCAATCAACATGGCCCAACCAAAATAACCTAACAACTTTTCAGTTTTACCCCTAACAATGTTTATTTTTTTATTTTTTTTATTTTGAATAAACGATATTATCTATGTTAAGGAGGAGGAGGCTGATTAAGTCTCACAACGAGCTAGCACTAATGTAGTTCAAATTCGTCTTTGGTGAGAATCAAACCTAAGACCTCTCACTTACAAGCGAAGAGTAATATCACTAGACTGTAGTACTAAGTGGCTACTTCTAACAATTTTAATTGTTCTGTTTGTTAGTTTTCTGTTTGTCAATCTTCCATTTTTGCTGCTAAAATAGAATCTTCACCGCCTTTGTCCACAAAATAAGGCCAAAAGCCAACAGCACTCGAATCAAAACCTTATTTTATTAATATTTTTGTTTGAATATAAACCAACTTATGTAAACAAGAACATAGTGCAACTGGGTATAATATACGTAAACCATTACTACATTTACAGGTTATGTATTCTTCTCTTCAAATTATTATTAATTAATATTAATCTCTAATATTAGAAAGCTAGAAGCACACTTTGGTGTCTCAAGACTTCACCAAAAAAAATGGACTGAAAAGCCCCTTAAAAAAAAAAAAAAAGAACTGACCGAATTTTATACATGAAAACATGCAAGGGCAATTTTGTAAAAAAATGTAAATCTAAAATTCATTTTATTATAAGCAAAATAAAATAAAATAAAATAGGGGAATACGTGTATTAAATCTCACTAGAAAAAGGGGCCAATAACCCCACTCCTCCTCCATTTTAGGAGAGATATTATGATTCCATATAAATGCATAAAAATTTGTAAAAGTTTATTTTATTGGGAAAAAAATGAAAAGAAAAAAACAACAAATAAAAAAGGACGGATACTTCAAATAAAAAATAAAACGTGGAAACTAAAAAATTGCACCCAACATTCAACAAAAAGCAGAGTTTCTATCAAACTAAACTACCAATATATTATTTTATTGAAAAATAATTGATTAAAATTCGACAAAAAGACTACAAAAGAGACATGATAAATCCCTCATATAAAAAATAGAACGTGGAAACTGAAAACTGCACCCACTTTGAGCAAAAAACAGTTTGATAAATCCTTCCACAAATCTCATTTAAATTCAAGAATCAGAAAATAAAAACGTGCACCGAGTCTCCATCTTACGAAATTCCTACTTTCTTCTCAACCAAGTTCGCTACATATTATCTGATTACACAAATATATATTTTTTATAGCAAATTGTTTATCCGTTCATTGCAGAAATAAAGAAGAAGAGAACGAGGGCGCGGCAGAGGATGAAACAGAGAGATAAATCGACAAAGAGTCTTCCTCGGTACAACTTCTCAACTCTCAATCTAGATCTTTTATTCTCAATTCTCAATCATTTCCTCCTGTCAATCTTAATCTTAGTATTTTTAGTTTGGATCTCTTTAGATTAATTCAAACGGTTGTTTATGTTCCTCCTACGAATTAGCTTATTTTAATTAGTTAGTAGAAATTTTCATTTTTATGTTCCTTCTGCCAAAGAGTTTATTTTAATTAATTTAATAAAATTTTCATTTTTGGTTTATGGGTAAGTGAACGTTTGAAAATTTTTAATTGGTATAATCAGTTTTGAAGTTGGTTTGACAGGAAAAATACAGAAGAAGTATATTTTGCACCATCCGACTATGAAAGGTTTCAGCCCCCCTTCCATTTGTTTTATTGCAAGAAGTATGAAAATTTCTGTTAACTTCATTATTATATACTAATTTATTAGTTAAATAATGGTTACTCATTTTTGCAGAATTTAAAGGGTGGGGGGATTTTAGTTTCACTGTCCATTTTAATATGATGGTTTCCAATTCTTATGTATGCAAGGTGGATGTACTCATTAATCTTGACTTGAGTGACGAAGATATTGCTATCAAGTTTTAAGGTACACTAATGTGTATTTTTATCTTCTTTTTTTTTCGTGATTTTACAAACCCCTAATTTTGTTGCACTATTATGTTAACAATTTATGGTTTAATTTTAGGGAACTTTAACAAAAAGCACCTGGTACTGTTCACTTTAACAAAAAACCACATTTTTACACTAAAAAGTCAATCCTAGTACTATTCACTTTACCCTTTATTTTGTCCTTATCATTAAAACTCAAAGTTTTCAAGCCATTTTCATTAGTTTTCCTTTAATTTTATTAAGGTATTGTATTGGATACAAAATGACACTAATTCCATTAATTCCATTCAATGTATATATATTAATTAAAAGTCCTAACTTTATTTTGAATGCAACTGATGCTTGCAGGGATTAATAGTCCTTAGTCCCACCTTGCTTCAACTGTAGCGAGGTTGCTCTTTGTTTCAAATTGCTACCACTCAGAACTTGGAATTATCACAAAGTTTGGTTTACAAATGCTTGGAATAGAGATGGTTTCAGGGAAGAAAAGATATGATGGAGTAATACTTTGCACAGGCAAGGAAAAGGAGAAGCAAGTCTTGGTTTGCATGTATGTGGATATTGGTTTCTCCTTTTTAGCTAACATTTTTATTATGTTATGCTTAATTTACTGTCGATACGATTTTTCTTTAGTTTTGAGGAATGTGAGAAATAATTTAAAATATATAATTAATTTTATTATTTGATATGTTTGTATATGTTGGGTGACAAATTCGGACTTCAAGTTTGTAATTTTACTGTGATTTTTTTTTTACATAGAGGGTTAGTTTTCCTTTTGTATATTAAGGTTGTCTTTTTGTGCAGTTTATTTACTCAGTTTGACGATAATTTAAATGGTGTATTTATATATACATAATATATAAATATATATGATTTCATATACTTATATTCTGATTCTGGGAAAAAGTATACATGTTTTACAACGAGGGGTTAGATATGTTGATAAAGAAAACGATTTTGTAAAACATTTATTTTTGCCCACTCACGTTTTCTGTTTTGCGCCCCTCCAAGTTCTAAGTAAGCTTGTTGTTAGTGACTAGATGACGTTGGCGGTTCTGACTTATCTAAATAATAGTAGGACATTCCTGGTACTGTATAATTAGTACTTGTCCTACTGGACTGCACCTAGACTTATTATGCTATAGTTAGGAGTGTTTACTATTGTAACTAACTCCTATCACTTCCTGTTAGTAGTGCACTCTAGTAATTCGGTTTTTAATTATTCGTATAACTCTTATCTTTATTGCTTCCGCACTGTGCACATGGCTACGTCACTCTCACGTGACGGCCAGTATGCCTTGATCTCGATCGGGATGTGTCATACACACTTTGTGTGTATGAACACATTTTTTTTAGAAAATGAGAGGGATATATATATATATATATATATATATATATATATACAGGGAGCTTAAGGGGAGGGATCCCCATTTTTTCAAAAAAAATGGGGACACGCTCCCCACCGTTAGATTGACTTTAATGAAATTGTGTGGTTGAGATTAAAACACAAGCCACAGAATCTCAACCACAGGATTTCATTAAAGTCAAATCCAACGGTGGGGAGCGTATCCCCATTTTTTTGAAAAAAATGGGGATCCCTCCCCTTAAGCAATTCCTATATATATATATATATATATATATATATATATATATATATTGGAAGTATTTTAACATCACATGTAGGTGATGCTTCAATAAAAAACAGTAAAATTTGAACCTGTGAAATTACATTATTGCCCATCATTTTTTTTGTGTGATAGAAGACTAATTTGTCTTTTCACCCTTTTTTGTTGACAAAGATGATTTTATTAATTAGTAGTGATATGTACTATAAAAATAAATTATATACAAAATAATTAATATATTTTCTCAAAACAGGGTGGGTTTGGCTCAAGGTTAAGTGCCATCCCGCCCCTCCCCGAACACCATAACAAAAACATTTCTCCAAGTTCATCTTCATCCCCGCTTTTTATCTTTCATACCAGACCCATTCAAGGCAAAACCCCACGGGAACACAAACCCTTGTGGAAATTGTCAGGCCTACATCTATATCTTATTTTATATTTCCAAAGATGTAAGCGCGGATTCTTCTTTGATGATAGATATGTAAGTCTGGATTATATTTACTTTTCTTTCTTTGATTGGTGAAGCCATCTCCAAAATGAGTGTGTAAATACTCAAGTAAATGACGTGTCAGGTCCTCATATGATGATGTAGAAATAATTGGTGAAGTCGTCTCGTCTAGTCTGCAAAATGAGCGAATGCAAGTCTCAAAATGTACGGAATAGTGCATTGATAGTAAAACTCATAAAACCTCGCTATGATAAAACCCAAGGTGAGACAAAAACTCATAGTGTAAGGAGAAAAGTGAGAAGTTGTATTAAGTCAAAACAAAAAGCCTTCAGGAAGCAAATAGAACGCACACAAGGGTATGACCAGCCGAAAATGGGTGCCTCGTTAAAATCTCGTCACATAGTAAAAATTTAGTAGGAAAAATGCTCTTAATCCTAGGGAAAAAGAGTACATTAGGCTCAAAAGAGTATACCTCTAGATACTCCTCTTGAGTTTGACAGAACTTCCAAATGAGAACTACAAGTATTGCAAATGCGATAGTTATACTTACCAATTCCTCAGGCAAACTTCTGGAAGGTTGACTTCAGTAGTGACTTCAAGAAAAGGTCAGCAAGGTTGTCTTAGGATCGAATTTGTTTGACTTCAATTTTTTGATGCTTTGTTGATGCGATAACAGCATAATATGCTTGGTGTTGACTTTGTTGATGTATCTTGTCTTAATCTGGTCAATACATGCAACATTGTCTCAACGATGGATAAAAAACCGCATGTATTTTGAATATACTCAACAAGAGCTCTCAACCATGTCTCTCAACCATGTCTCTCAAGTTTGGCATGGTGAGGTGTTGTGAGTCTTAGAACAATTCAAAGATTTCTCAACTAAGGTCTATTTCGTGGACCTCCAAAATATTGCAGTATTTCCAAACAATAAAGACACAACCATTTGGAAACATGCCTTGTGCGGATAACCATCAGCAACATAACAAACAAGGCAAGCATTATTTCAAGAATCAGGAGGTTGAATCTGCTAGGGATGCGTAAGGATAAGCTCAAATTCGTAGTACCATTAAAGTAGCGGAAAAAGTCTTTAAAATTCCCAACTTAATAAAATCTTATAAAATCCATAAATTTTTTTAAATACACCTAAATTTGGATGTACTCTTAAAAATTCTAAATGTCTATTAAAATCCCTAAACCACTGTTCTTCATAACCTTTGTTAAATTTCCGCGGAGGGCGCAGAGGTAAATTTATGCAAAACACCTCAGATATTCGAAAGAAAAACAGAAAATCCAGAAAACAATTGTCGTATAAAGTCTTTTGTCGTGTCAACAGAAAACAGTAGTTGTACTAGTAGTCTACTCTTGTAGTTAAGTCAGGTAGGTAGTCGAGTACGAGTACTGTGATCCACTTCCAATTCCAAACACCAACAAATCAAAACAGGATAGAGATGGAAACGGAAGTCGCCGACGACCCCGCCGCCGTCGATATCGAAGCTGGATACGGCGGAGTAGATAGCGGCGAAGAGGCTGTGGCGGGAGGCGGAAGCCGTAGAAAATCGGGGCGTGACAACGTGAAGGGTCCTTGGTCTCCGGAAGAAGACGCGGTGCTGACCCGGTTGGTGAGTAATTTCGGGGCGAGGAATTGGAGCTTGATCGCCCGAGGAATCGACGGACGATCCGGCAAGTCTTGTCGCCTGCGGTGGTGTAATCAGCTCGACCCCGCCGTCAAGCGCAAGCCCTTTACTCGTATGTACACTTTGTTCTGAACTGAACCCTCAAATTCTTTAATCAAATGTATGTTCTTCTAACTTTGAATTTCGAATTGAGGGTTTTGCTGCTTTTGCAGCCTTTTAATTAAGATTTTGTTTCAAGTGCTCTGGTGAACGAGATTCAATTTGATTTCAAGTTGGGTTTTTGCACTGTCTGTTTGAGCACATTGTTAGCAAGCTTTCGCATTTGACCATGATTCAGACGGTGTTCTGCATACGTTTGGAGAATTTCGTGTGATGTTTTGTTTGGTTGTGAGTGTGATTCAATCGTTACCTACCGCGAATCGGACTGTGTTGTTATTCACATGTTTTGCTAGGCTTTCTCTTATTACCTAAATAAAAAATTCTAGAATACATCAATGTGTAGCATACATTGCTGAATTAAACGGCTGTTCTGCGCTTAAGAATCTAAGGGAATTTAACGGATTGATGTGAGCTACTGAAAAGACAATGTATATAATACGTTGATGTGTAGTAGGAGGGATCTACCTAAAGAACAGGCACACTTGAGTTGTTACATGTAATATGCATATTCGGTTAGTGGAATTGTGCATTATGTTGAAATCTGATATCATATAATTTCAATCTTATCACTTTCTTCCGTCGGCTATCCAGCCCATTTGTCATGAATTCATGTCTACGTGAGTCTTCCTGGAGAAGAAAGCTGATGGTTTTGAATTGTTTCAGATGAGGAGGATAGGATGATAGTTGCAGCCCATGCAATCCATGGAAACAAATGGGCTGCAATTGCTCGGCTTCTACCAGGGAGGACAGATAATGCCATAAAAAACCATTGGAATTCCACACTAAAGCGCCGGTGCATGGACACTGACAAAATAAAGTTAGAATCTGGTAATATGGTTGAAGATGTTAGCTTTGACAAAACAAAAGGATCATCTGAAGAGACCTCGTATGGGGACGTCAATTCATCTAAATCTATGGAAGGAAGAGAAGTCAGTTCTTTAGAGCATATGGATGATCAAGATGAATACAACGGGTCATCAGAAGTTCAGTTTAGTCATGAAGCCACCGAACAGCCTACTCTCTTTAGACCAATGGCCAGGATCAGTGCTTTTAGTGTATATAACCAATCAAATAGCCAGGAGCCTGCATCATCATTCCCAAGGCCGATCCCAGTGCAAGGACCTCTTGTTCAAGCATCAAAACTAGATGTTGGCATAAATAAGTTTCTTGAAGGAGTTTATGGTGAGCGATCAGTGCCTGATCGGTGTGGCCACGGTTGCTGTCGTGCAGAGAGTGGTATGAACTTTCAAAACTCGTTGTTGGGGCCAGAATTCGTGGAATTCTCCGAGCCTCCCTTGTTTCCAAGTTTTGAATTGGCTGCAATTGCCACAGATATAAGTAACCTTGCTTGGCTTAAAAGTGGGTTGGAGAATAACAGTGTAAGAGCAGTGGGTGAAACGGCTGGTAGAATAACAACTCATGGGTCTCAAGACCAAACGGGGCGTTTTGAGGAGAGTAGAATGAATCATCTTTTTCCCACTGAAGAGAGAAAGGATAGGCTAATGGGCATGAAGACAAATGTGCTATCAACCTAAGAGCCACGGATAAGAGAAAGGTTCAAAATTTTCTTTAAGAAACTTTCAATAACCTTTTGGCCTGGGTTCCTGAATGTTGTACGACATAATAGCTGATGCATTGTGTCGGAGGCACACTTACGATGTAAAAGCATGATGAAGAAATTTGTTTCTCCAGTTGACGCAGTGGCATGAGTTCACAGTTCCATCCATATGTTCAAGTGGAGAATGTAACTTGTTAATTCAGTAGAAAGGTGCGAACATCGCCTCTCCATTCATTCGATATGCTTGTAGTTATTTAGCTCAACAGAACTTGAAGCAACTCTTTTCAACTCAAGAAACTCTCTCCCTTGTAGCTGCTGTCAGCTTAGAAAATATGTTTCATTGTTTCTGTTGTTCAATCTATATTCGGAATATTACTTAACATCCATCTTCTCTTTTGTCTCTCTTTGGAGAATCATGCATTTCCCGCCCTTTGACATGTGAAAAGATAGCTTGCACATATTAACACTTCCAGGTTTATTGGGCATCCTCAAAACTAAGTTCTTTTTAACGTTTCATTACTTGCCATGTGATGTTTCGTTTAAGATCTCTCCTTTCCTAATACCAACCCAAATTCTTAGGTCCGATTGCAGGGATCAAGTCACCCGTATGACCCATAGACAAAATATGAGCCTCTGTATTGTGGTCCAACCGACCTCACACTCGTCTTTTGTGTGATGGGTACGCAACTTGCCCCACCCAAGGGATATCTCTCAGGGGAAAAAACTTGCGTAGGGTACCCAATCAATCATCTGTTGGAAACCTCTAACAAAAACATGATACCCCTGCATTTTTATCACACTCAACTTCACGTTGATCCCACCATGTGTGGGAAATCTCATAGTTAGTCAGCCTCAGCCCTACCGAAGCTTTCGGGTCCTACCCAAATGGATAACTAGGAAGTATGACTAATTCGAATCCAACTTATTGAGAGGACTCAGAGGAGCAACAAAACCAACTCCAAAGTGTGGCAGGGGAAAGAAAGAAACAAGTAACTAAAACACAAGTAGGACCCCAGAAGATGGATAGTGTCCTCCAAGCCTCCTCTCCTTTTTCAGTGTAATGTTGCTGTCGAGTCGACAAACTGTCCCATAAAGGTGAAGTTATTAGATAGGGATGTGATATCTACATACATTTTTTTACTTCTCTCATACCTTTTCAGTTTTCGATCATCGGATCGAATGAATTAAAGAATATCAACAAACATAAATTAACAAAGGATGTGTGAGAAGTAAAAATGGATGTGTGGATAGTACACCCCATTAGATATAGGGCAGCCCCACCACGATGTACTATATGACCTTCCTCAATAATTACTTGCCCCTCTCTCAATTTCGAGATGGAGGAAGTGCGTTGGTTCCACCCACACTACACATGTGAGAAGGATATACAAAGCAATTCGGAAACGGTGCGTTTGGTTTGCTAAATGGTGTTGTTGGCTTGCTAATTATTTTGTCATGTGAGAGTGGATAATTGGAAGACAAAGCTTTTTTGTCATGAGATGGAGGAATCAAAGGATGACCCACAACACAAGGAAGGAGGGAAGAACATTAAAGCTAAAAGGAAAAGTAGAAGAAAGGATGAGATTCCAACTCCTTACCTAACTACGTATTTTTAAGGAAGTTTTAAAGAAAAGTCTGTAATACTATTTATTTTAATGAAAAAATACATTTTTATACTAAAAAATTAATCTGGGTACTATATACTTTACCCTTTATTTTGTCCTTATCGGTAAAATTCAAAGTTTTCAAAGTTTTTTTCATTAATTTTCCTTATTTTTAATTCCATTACAATATTTGCAATCACCCTTCTAAAATAACTCATTAAACCACTAAAACAAAATTAGTTAACAATTTGTTCGGGTTTGAGAGACAAATTCCAAACTTTTTCGTATCTGGCATTTTATATAAACGTTTGGATGCATAACATTTTCTCCAAAAGTAATCGAGAATAACTAAGAATGAGTCGTTGTAGGATACAAAGCATTTTCCTTACCATTACGATGCATTGTAGCACTAGAAAATACAAATGTTTTCAAAAAGAAGAAAAGAGAGAGGAGATTTTAAAGGCCATTCCAATTCCGAGTTGGTTCGTTGGAACTTTAGGAGATGAGTCTCTCTGGCAAACAGCCAGAATTGGAATGTAGCTCTTTCCAAATTTTCCACTCCATTTTCCTTTTTACATAAGACTTAATTTTTTATTGTAAATTATTTTACTTTTTTGTTCTTCACGCAAAGGCAAGATTACATAGGCGACACGGACCATGAGGTGGTCCCACCTCCAGTCAACTTCATCATGACTGGGAAATTCCAACCTCCAAAATTTAGAAAAAAAAATAGGAGATTTTAAAAATTAAAAAAAAAAAAACTGATGCATTGCTCTGCTCATATTCACAATCTAGGGTCTTGATTTCGTCCATTTCATCGTTCGGTTAATAGCACCCGAAAATAGACGGCCATGATCCCTGCATGAAAACATTACGTGGTAAAGGAGACAGATGCAGTGAGGAGAATCCTGCATGCAGTTGCAACTTTCAACTTGCAGGTACTAAAATTATTTTGTAGTCTAGGAGGAGAAGGAGCAAGCAGCAGCTACTGATTAATGTATGTACTGGGTAACTGAAAGTACTAAATAATTGAGATGTAGTTTCTGACACCATTGCTTCTCATCTTCCCCACAGGATACTTTCCGGATTTTTTTGTGAAGATTTCGAAAATTTATGAATTTTGTCTGTTCTTCGTCTGTTCTTCGTATATTATGTAATTAATTTTTTGTTAAATATTTTTTATATTAATTTTAAATAAAAATATTTAAAATAATTTATGAATACATAATGTAGAATGAAAAGACACAATTCACAAATTTCTGAAATCCTTGTAAAAGAAGATCTAGAGAGGATTCCGATTCCTCATCTTCTGTCAATCATCGTATTGTTTGCTTTCATTCATTTGTTGTTCAATTGTCGCAATCGTTTTTTTTTTTTTTACTTTCTCCCTTTATTTTTCGATTTTTGTTTCATCTCGTAATAATATTTGTTTATTAGAACATCTAATTTTAGATAATCTTTTAAAAAAAAATTAAATAACCAAATTACATTGTTTAATTGTTTGGTTAACATTAATAAAATTTCAATGTTCAAGTATGAAACATTGTTCGTCTATTTATTATCTAATAGTTACATGACTAAACAATTTTGAATTTAACTAATCTTCTGCAAATATGATCTTTAAATGGTGACGAGAAAGTAAAAGATTGATACATTGAACTACATTTTGAAGATGTAAAATAAGAATGAAGAAGGTAGGATGCGAAAGTCTCACTAAGAAGATTTGGTAGCATTGCCGATGTAATAATTGTATGTATTTTTTGAGTTTATAAATAGGAAATGCTATTATATCAAACAATTAATCTGATTTAGACATCCATATCATTAATAATTTGAAGAAGACCTCACGGTTTTCAAGATTTATGAGTTGATATTGACTTTGATATTTTTTTTAAAAAGGAGCCAATCTTTTTCTAATTGGAAAAAAAAAAACACTTCTTCAAATTTTGAAGTTAAAAATGGCTCCTTTTTTAATGTTATTTATTTTTTTGTTAATGGAATAAGAATTGTGTTGGTAATCAGCTAGTGCTCCATTTTGTTCTTATATTTTTGTAACAAAATTTAGCGTAGCCAATTAAGTTTGGTCAATATGCCTCACTTTACACTCAATGCTAGTAAAATAAAACCAAATACCATCCTAAATTACAAGAAAAATCATTAACTTCTATTCGATTGTTCGACAAGGAAGAACATAAGGAGCCAAGGATTTCCCGTTTAGAAATTTATGAAATTATAAGGTGTTCGTATCCCTTCAATCTACACCACAAATTGTGTTCCATGGACATGTTTGTCACACAACCTCAATACTCTAGGAAAAACAAACATTGTGCATTGAAGGTAGGGGACTTCAAGTTCTGTTGTTGGAAAGCCATTCGCTCTAGATTGTAGCCGCATTGAAGGATTCTTATAAGGTGTCGATTGCTTGTAGCTACTTCTACTCATGTTTGTCATCAGGCCAATAACGTTACTCATCTGGTTTCAATTTTCTTTGGTTTGAAGATCCATGGAACCTCATTTCAGACTTGTTATTTGTAGAGTGTTATGTTCTGTTTTGTAGGTTGTTCATTAGCCTTCTTGTTTCTCTCCGTTCACTTTTATTAATGAAATTATATTGCAGTTTTTTTTTTTGGGTCAAACAAGAATACTTCCATTAAAAACTAGTGTAAGGCCCGAAAAGAGCCAGCTAAACAACAACAGGTAAAGTAACAGGTCCAAGCAAAAAGAGAGCTGCAACCTGAGAAGTAGACATCAGATCTAAATCCCCTTCACAAACTCTGCAAATATATACACACAAAGTACCTTATGGATAGAAAGTGAGGCTAACAGGTATGTAAAATACATTTCATGTGGTGGAGGCCGCATAACACTTGACCTCGATGGGGATTCAACATGCCAGTTGGGGGAGGGGAAGTGGGGAGGAGAGTGGATATGATATCCAATTTCTGATTGGAGCTCGCATATCCGAGCACAGGAAATGGTGGGGATAGAATCACTTATAAGGAGGAGGGAGGAAGGAAAAGTAAAGTAGTAAAAAGAGGCGAAAAAAACTCTAGATAAAGGGCATGAAGCCTATTATGAACTCAGGAAGTAATTGAGACCAAGCTCAAAGAAAACTGAGATAAAACTCAGACAAGAACCAAAATAAAAGAAAAAGGAAGAAGACTGAAAAAGGAGAAGGAAAATGAGGTGAGATGTTGTGAAAGGGAAGGGGCAGATGAGATGAGAGGGGAGGAAATGATGGAAAAGGCAAAGGAGAAGGAAGCAGGAGGAAAGAGGGATGGAGTAGCGGGCTACCGCCGACCCCGAGCAAGAGCAAGGGGCTGAACTTTGATCTAGGGTTGAGTTTTGGCAACAGCACAAAGAGTTTAGAGAAAGATCTTCTTCTACCCTTGTGTCGCCTATCGCAATTTCTTAAAATAAAATGCAAAAAATAAAAATATATAAAAGAAAAAACTTTTTAGCCAAAATTGATATTTGCTTAACTTCTCACTTTGATCCCTGAAATTTGAAATAATAGAAGTGGTCCTTAAGATTGTCCATCATTAATCATTTTAGTCATTCGATGAAAAATTATATTAAATAAGGATCAAAATTACCCTCAATATAATAAACAATAGACCAAATGATTTGACAACAATTGAGGGTATTTTGGTCATTTTATTCTCATTTTATGGAGATTTTGCTCTGAATGACCAAAATATTTGATTGTAGACAAAATTAGGGACCAATTCTATCAATTTCCAATCTCATGAACCAAAATGATGAGTTATGCAAAC